ACGTTTCAGGTCTGGAGACCCTTCCTCAGATGCTGCCAGACCTGCTGAGCTTTCCCAGCAACTTCTGTTTTTGTTCCCGATTTATAGCATCCACAGTTTTCTTTATGCTTACCACTGCATCAGGAAAGCAGCCAATATAATCAAAAACCCCTCCCATCCTGGTTATATTCTCTTCCGTCAGGCAGAAGATATAAAAGTTTGAATACACATATGAATGGATTCAAGAACAGCTTCTTGTAATCAGACTTCTGAACGGACCTCTCAAATGTTAATTCTGACCTCTCTCTCTGCACTTAATATGTGGCTGTAACACTGTATTCTGCACTCTGTTCTGCTACCCTGAAGCACTTTGTATGGCACAATCTGTCTGTATAGAACCCAAAACAAAACTTTTCACTGTATCCTGGTACGTGACAACATTCAAACTATGTACACTGTGAAAGGCTATTTGTGGTTGATAGTGTTTGACTTCGTGCACGACCCATTGCAGCTCCGGTGATGCAAATCTCAAGGTATCAGCAGTAGCAGGGTAAAATTGCATCACAAAACTTACTAGTGCTCACAGAGAGAAATCCTCCATGAAACTCCGCAAAATTGCCACGTAGCCAATTCTTGCTAAAATTCAACCCTTTAAATTTACCTGTTCCTGGAGTAAAATCTGTTTCAATGTGGAAGGAAGAAGCGCTTTGTCGTGAGTTTATCAAAGTCTACAGAAATAACAACATATATAGAATTTCCCCAACTAGTCAGCAGCAGGGACAATGGCGAGGAATTTGGCAGAACACAGTGGGAATGAACAATGAGATTCTCAATGTCAAGAAAAAAGTTCCAATTTTCTTAAGGTTTCTACAGATCAATGAGAAGCTTACCATGAAGGGACAAGGGCCTTAACTCCATGCATTTGCATCTCAAATACGTGGTTCAAGATTGAGAGAAACTAGACAGTGCCAACTCGCGACTTGAATGTCAGAGCAATCACTTGGCAGATGAAACTTCTCTGCCTCCATGTTCACTTGAGTCACCAACATCTCACACCAGGCTCCATGGGTAGCAATTCCATCCACCCATTGTCTATGGAAGTCACATTGGCAAAACACCAACTTCTTCACATCATCATGGTTGATCTTAGACTCACTCAGGACAACTCTTCAGTCCTTCACCACAATATTTTGGAGCTCATCTGCACCTTACAGAGCAATGATCCAGTCAGATGCACAAGGACATACCCGTCTCATGCATCTGCACAACATGCACTCCAGGGCTCCCAGCTTGCTTTTTTTAGTACTCACTCACTTTCTACTTGCTACATCACTGGCTCACTAGGATGCAAAATTAACGAGGTGAGTAGCAGATTGTATGAGAAATGACACCACAGCTTGCAGGGGGAAAGTCCTCCATGGAACCCCTCCATGAAAAAATGGCAATGAAAATATAGGGAGATTCAGCCCTGTGTGAATGAGTGCATATATTTGGTGTAAGCTTCAACATATTTATCTAACTTAATTTTCAATGGAATTCTCATTAACACTCATCATTGCTCAATTCTCATTTCAAAGCTTGCATAATTTTGTTCACTCATTTTGTTCCTAACAATTTCAGATATAATAAAAATACAATTTTTAATTGTATGTGTCGCCACATAACAAACTCTTATTTTCAGTTTACTGAAGGAGCTTACATGAGTTCAGGCACCACAATTGCACCTGATCTAAGATATCACCCTCTGCTGTCTCTTCAGTCACTCACTTAACAAAATTTCAATACATCATTATCTCATGATGCTCAATAATTAGTTTCTTGTATTTTTTTGGGCAGTGATCAGTTGATGTATTGACAATATCTTCAGTTGGCTATTCAGTGAAGATTAGCTAAGATACAAATGACGTAGATAATCTCAATACCATCTTGTTACATATCAGGGAGACATAGCAATTCATCATAACTTCCTATCACGTAGCTGTAGTACAGCCAATAAACAATTAACTCATTTGAGAAGGAATGTCATCCATCTCCTAATAAGACATGCAGATTGTGTGTGCTAAACATTGCAGGCTTGAGGAACTCATTGTTTAGGAAGAGGCCAGTATTAGAACTAAATACAAAAACACACAATAAAGCAAACAAATACAGTCCATATTTACGAAATTCTCCTGTAATTATTTGCCAAACAAGTCCTGAAGTTTATGCCAGGAATGAAGCGCAGAGAGTGTTGCAACTAAACCAATATATTTATATATATTACATAATCTTATGATTTAGAAATTAATTTCCACGATTATTTGTGTTCTAACATTTAATTTATGTATTGAATGGAGAATAGATCAGTATCTACAGCCAGTATCACTTCCCCCTTTATTTTAGTTACTTTTTAGGTTCATTGAGACAAGTGATGTCCATGCTGGGGCTGACACATCGAATGTTGAGCATCCAGGGCAAGCAACATTTGCAGGGAGTCTATAAGACAATGTTCATTACTTGATTGGAGGAAGGAAATCTCAAAGTCCAAAATTATAGTTCAGGGTTCTAACCAGTGCAGAAGGGTGCTGGAAAACTGGAGGGTGGCCAGTATTTTATTATTTTTCAGAATAGGTAAACAGATTTTATCCAGCAAAGTAAAGGTAAGTTAGCTCAAAGTAAAATTTGACTTAGTCTGTGATGTAAAATGTTCTAGTGAATTGGACTGTACTTTACACTTCTTAAATTTTCCACTCAATTCAATTAAAGAGATCCTGGAGGGTATAAAATATCCAATGTGATGCCATCAATCATGAACAATTTCATCCCAAAGAATCTCAAATTCAACTTCAGCAGACCAACCTCATTGTTAAGTGGCACTTCTATTTTCTGCAGCAGCTATCCCTATGGCCTTTCCAAGTGACAGTTCCAATATCATATTCATTACAAACTGGGCTGACATTACCCAGATTCACTTGAAATACGGCTCTTTAAAACAACTGAAAGCACCTTTTCCATTAATCTTTGCTGGATTTGATCACCTGTTGAATTTGAATAGAAAGGACACTAATCCACTCTGCCATCTGATTGTAAAAAGAAATGTTTTCACATTGACACGCATCCTTCCTTTTGACAGATTCTTCTTTCTTCTCCAAGTGATACTTCTTATGCCAGTAACACATCACAGCTGACATTTATAAACAGAATTCATACCATGTGGTTGCAAGACAGACATCCTGACAGAAACCAAATTGATCCTAATTCAGGTTGCTCCTCCACTTTTCATCTGCATTTACCTTCTGTCTTCCAAAATCAAATATAATATAGACAATAATAGCTGGTATTAATTATTCATCTTTTCTAATCAACACCCATTTCTCTTGGATAAAAATGAGAACTGACAGAAAATGGGAATCATAAGGTATTTAAACATAATGAGGATGGGAGAACTGATGTTCCAATCAATCGCCTTAGGATTCTCTCATATCTGGGAACAAGCTTAAAATGCAGCTTAGGCAGAAGCTGTATGATCTGTAGATTACTGCCAAAAGAACTTGGGGTGTAGCCAGGCTGACGTATGCAGGGGTAGGCCACGGTGACCATTTTTTCTTTGGCAATTCCCCAAAGTGTCCAAGAGATCAAGAGCTCATCGTCTCATAGATCAAAATGACAAACCAATATCGGATTCCTTTGACAAATATGCCATAACCTTAAGCAGCATTCCATTGATGTATCAGAATTACACCTTTGGAAAAAACCAACGGCCTGATTAAACTCTCAACTCTCAACCTAAAAAGGAGGAAAACAAAAACACTTTAGCTTTTACTAGCATAAGCTGAAGGATGCTCTGATAAAGAAATGGGCTGCCATGCCATCTTTAAATCTCCTAATCTCGCAGATGTGAAAAGTTCATATTTCAAAATGTATTTCACAACTGTAGTGTGGGAGCTTTGCAAAAACAAACAGAGCTCCCCAGGGTATCATGAATATGGGCTGAGATTCAGTACCATGGAGAGAGTCCTCTGCAGAAGAATTCATTTTGCTTGACATCAGCAAGGGAATGCTTCACATGAAGAGGCTGCCGATAGATGCCTAATGAGCCATTTTATACTATATTAAAACTAAATAATATGTACAAGTAAGGACATACATTTATCTACCAAGATTTTTATTTTAATTTCTGAATTTTGATTCCTCAGTCAGGGACCCCTTTATAACCTTGACACTCAGTGGCAGTTCAACTTCTGGATTAGATATACTCTAATGCTCTCAGTGAATTTCAGAAAATTATTTCTACTGCACCATTACTTTCCATTTTGAAAACTAGCCATCCTTACAATTTCTCCAAGTGAAACAGGTAGTTTAGTGGCAAATTACATATATTTCTTTTCTGTAGACCTATGCTTGACACAAATAGAAGCCATCTAAACTCACTCCCTTTAATATCTTCTGGAGGCACATTTTAAGCAAAACCCTTTTGCATGGCAACTGATTGCATCATCCGGTTCTCATCTCCTGATAACATTTGAACATTCTGAAGATTTCATTAATATTCAGCTCTCATAATTACCCAACAGAAATTGGTGTAGATAAAAATGAAAAATTAAAACAACTTATCATTACAATTACATTACATTTGATATTAGAAGATAAAAGATAATTCAGGTGAAAAATTAAGGCCTTACCTAAGTAGATAGCATCAATTTTATTACTTTAAGAATATTATGTGTACACATGCAATGTTACATGGGATTTGAAGTCTTTGGTTATAAAATATCAGTTTTCATTTTTTTTTTAAAAAGCATACATCAGTTATATGAATACAACGTATCCAACTGACTGCAAGTCTTTCAGGTGAAACAAATTCAAATTTTTGGATCAGGTTGTGAAATAACTCATCTCCCACTTTAAAATACATTTTAAAATTCATTTTATATATTAAAAATAGATGTACATAAGGTGGACAGAAGCATGTTCATTATAAAGCAATTCATTATAAATCGACTGGAAAAAACATTTTCAGTTAAAAACAAACATATACCTACAAATATTTTTTATTTTCATAGACGTCGTGTAGCTTTAAAACATGTGGATGTTCTATTAACTTCAGGATAGCTATCTCCCGTTCTACCTAAAATACAAAAAGAGAGAAATATTATACTAACACTCTGACAACAAAGCAATAAATTTAGGGCTGCAAGTTGATGCTAAACTATGATGTTACAGCATTAATTTCTGTATTTATAAAGGAAAACATGCATAATTATTCCAATTCACTGACTACACCATGGAAATAATGCCGAACTGAAACAGTAAATTGTCAGAAGTAGTTTAAACAGCATGCACACCAAAACTAATTGTCATTATCATGGTGTTATTTAAAATATTGAATGAATTAAAAGGAATAATTGACACTATGATCCAGAGAGTTATAACAAAATCAAATACACAACTGCTTAATATCTGGCATTTATTAAGATCTTACATTAGAATATCGAACCAAGAATAAACTTTAGGGCAAAGTTATCATGTGGCCATTTCCAGTTACATCTTATTCCAGTACATATATTGTACTATATGTTCTGTATGTTATTTCAGGTAATTGAAACATATACATTTTAATTTAATATTACCCTGAAATTAAAATTACAGTGCAAAGTAATATTCACCTTTGCTCTCCATAATTTCTCAACAGCCCAGTTGGATAAGGTCTGACACAGCCATCTCAATGTCCATTATCCCACAATTGTTTATTATGATTCAGGGAACATGAAAACTTCTTGCTATTGACTACTTTGATTGAAGGCAGCATACAATGCAATGCTAAGAGCATGGACAAGTGCCTGCACACCATAGCAGAAGGCTCAACGTCATTCAAGATCAGCACATAGAGCTAGTTGTCCCTACTCAAAACCAAACCCCCCTCTTTCAAAGGGAGGAGCACAATAGCTACAACAGGTTTGTGGAAGACTGCCTCAGGAAGAATGAAATTGATAATTGCACAACAGGGCTGCAGGCCTGCTTCAAGACACTCTGGCACAGCAGAGGCCTTTCTCAGAAGGTGGTAACTTGATGAGAGGATGACAGGTACTCAGTGGTTGTCCCTAAAGAGCAGGAGCAGATAGACATTGCTCACAACGCAAGCAGTCAAGACCCTCAACGGGAAATTTAAATTTTCTCACGAGTGGTTAAGTTCGATGAATACATCTTCAAACGCTCTATCTCTTCAAATTAAATCACTAGCCTCATACACTGCTCCATTCACCATACCTCCCAAACATCCACAACAACCATAACTCATACGTTATGTTAATTTTTTTATTCATTTACAGGACGAGGGCAGCTCTGGCTAAGCCAGCATTTATTGCCCATCCCTAATTGCCCAGAGGGCAGTTAAGAGTCAACCACATTGCCGTGGGTCTGGAGTCACATGTAGGCCAGATCAGGTAAGGATGGCAGTTTCCTTCCCTAAAGGACATTAGTGAACCAGATGAGTTTTTCCCGACAATCGACAATGGATTCATGGTCGTCATTAGATTCTTAATTCCAGATATTTCATTGAATTCAAATTCTACCATCTGCCATGGTAGGATTTAAACCTTGGTCCCCAGAATGTTATCTGGGCCTCTGGATTAATAGTCTAGTGATAATACCACTAGGCCATCGCCTCCCCTGCTCATCTTACCCTCGCATGACTCAGGTTGTACACACATTGCACCAAATGAACTGATGTTTTTCTCTCTCCTGTGGGACAAAGATTGCACATTACTGTCAGGAGCCCACAGACACCGATGGTTGACCTCCTACCCCATGGAGGAGATAGTGTGGCCAACACTAATACAGTCACAACTCAGGTGGCGGTCAGCAGTGGGGCCTTGGCCTCAACAGTTTTCTGCAGCAGAGATTTTCTGCAGTTCACTATTCTCTAGATGAAGATGATTCTCATCAGCTCAGTCCTAAATGGCCCAGCCCGTATCCTTAAACTGTGACATGTGGTTCTGGACTCCCCAGTTATCAGGAACATCTTTCCTGAACTTACCCTGTCTAGTCCTGTTAGGATTTTATACAGTTTTATGAAATCCCTCTTCATTCTTGTAAACTTCAGAGAATGTAGTCCTGACAAATTCAGTCTCGCGGTTCATAGTTCCCTCCCATCTCAGGAAGGATGGATAAGTGAATAGTAAAGATGTGGAGGGATGTGGGCCATGAGCAGGCAGGCGGGACTAGTTTGGGATTATGGTTGGACTGGTTGGACCGAAGGGTCTGTTTCCGTGCTGTATGACTCTATGACTCTATAAATTAACCAGAAATTCACCTGAAAAGTAGTTGGAAGTTTTAAAAAACACTGTTTGAGAGTTGTGTGTCAGGGGTTGTTTCAACGAAAGCATCTGCAGGATCAGTGAAGTTGAAATGGCAGAATTGTCATCAATGCAGCACTTTACATTAACTGATGTAATGACCTGCCTATTCTGCTTATCAGATGCCCTTTGATACAAAACTGGTACTTCAGGCACCAAACCTCATGGGCATTACAGAGTTAAGCTTTATAGTTCTGGTATTTATTATACTAATTATCTCCTAAGAAAACCGTACAACTGAATTTTATTGACCATTTTCAACTACTTTCCATACCTGTGTATTGTGACTTCCTCTAGAGAATTACTGCAAAGTCAATTAATAATCCAGACATGTTTTATGGAAATTCCTGCTTTGGGGACTTTCAATTTAACAGATCGTGGCTCTGTGGATTATTAAGGTCCCTTCATGTATATTATAGCCCTCATTAACATTAGGTAAAAAGCAAGTCTTAAACTTTGAGGTTAGAACTAAAATTGTGAAAAACAATGGACCCCTCATGCAGAATAACTTTGCAAATGTCTCAAACACATGGTCCAAACAAAACTGTACCTGTTGCACAAAGAATTTCTAAAGAAAAGAATCATTCAGGAGAAATGGGTGTCACAGGCAAAGTCAGCATTTATCAGCCACCCCTTTTTGCCCTCAAGATAGTGGCAGAGGCTCATGGTTCTTGGACTGTTGCAGTACTTATGATGAAGAAACAGTGCTGTTATGTAGGGAATTCCACGATTTTAACCCAACAGCGATGCAGAAGCATTTGAGGCAGTATGGTGAAAGACGTAGAGGAACTTGCAGGCCATTGTATCCCGATGCATCTGCTTCCCTTGTGCTTGCCCTTGCTAGAGGTCATAGGTTTGGAAGGTGCTGACAAAGAAATTTTCCCAATTTACTGTAGTTCACTTTTTTAGATGAAAAACTGTGACAGCAGTGTGTGTCTGTAGTGGACAGATCAAATGTTTAGAGTGGTGAATAGGGTGCCTTTCAAATGGACGTTGCCCTGGATAGTGTTCAGTTTTGAGTGTTGTTGGAGCGGCACACATCCAGACAAGTAGGAAATATTCCATCAGGCTTCTATATGATGGGCAGGCTTTAAGGAGTCTGAAAGCAAATTGCTTACCAGAGTAAGGCTAGCTATTGACTTGCTTTTTAAGTTCAAACTTGGCTGGTCCAGTAAAGGTTCTGGTCAGTGGCAAACCCCCAGAATCTCCAATCATAGTAATATCATTGAGTATCCAGAAGGAGTTTAATTCCCTCCTGCTAGAAATGGTCTTTGCTTGTCATTTCCAACTTGTAATCCAACCTGAATCTAACCCATTTAGAATGGCAGGGGCAGTATAAAACACAACCCCCTCAATGTCAACATGACATGTTGTCACCCCCAAGTACTGTGCAGTTGTCACTCCTAACAATGCTAGATTAGTGAGGAAAAGTCAAGTAGATTTTTCCCCATTTTTAGTTCTTTCACCACCTACCACAAGCCCAGGGCTTACCTGGATTGGTCAGTAGTGGTGCCACCAAACCACTCTTGGTGATGGATAGTAAAGTTCCACCACTTGGAGTACATTCTATGTCTTTGCTACTCTTAGTGCTTCTTACAAGTTGTATTCAATGATTCATTTGCTGACAGAGCACTATGGTGGGTAATCAGCAGTTAGTTTCTTTACTCAGGTTTGGTCCAATACCATGAGACATCACGGGGTCCAGAATCAGTGTTGTGCAATGTTAAGGTCACTTCTCCCAACACTGTACACAGTACCGACAGGTCTGGCAGGTCTGTGTTGCTAGTACACAAACAAATTGCTGGCGAAGCTCAGCAGGTCTGGCAGCCTCTGTGGAAAGAAAGCAGAGTTAATGTTTCAAGTGCAGTGCCTTTTCATCAGAACTGTTAGGATCTAGGAAAAAGTGGTATTTATGCTGAAGACTTTGTTAACTCTGCTTCCTTCCCACTGATGCTGCCAGACCTGCTGCGTTTCACTACCAACTTCCATGTTTATTTCGATTTTCCAGCAGACACAGTTCTTTGCTTTATTTTGCTGTCTTGTCAGTGGGTCAGGATGTACACAGAGATGGTCATGGGGGAGTAGGTGAGGAGTATGATTCACTAACTGTGTCGAACTGTTGTCTATAGGACACAAAACCCTAACTGTTAGTGACAAGGACCTTGCAAAGTTGACTTGCAGGGTTAATTTATATGGACTTCAGTAAGGCGTTCAACAAAGGTTCCTCATGGTAGACTGGTTAGCAAGGTTAAATCACGTGAAATACAGGGAGAACTAGCTATGTGGATAAAGAACTGGCTCAAAGATAGAAGACAGAAGGTGCTGGTGAAGGGTTGCTTTTCAGGCTGGTGGCCTGTAACCAGTTGTGTACCACAAGGATTGGGACTGGGCCCACTGCTTTTTGTCATTTTATATAAATGATTTGGATGTGAACATAGGAGGAGTGGTTAGTAAGTTTGAAGATGACACTAATTGGTGGTGTAGTGGACAGTAAAGGAAATTACCTCAGTACAACGGGACCTTGATCAGATGGTCCAATGGGCTGAGGAGTGGCAAATGGAGTTTAATTTAGATAAATGTGAGGTGTTGCATTATGGAAAGGCAAATCAGGGCAGGACTTATACACTCAATGGTAAGGTCCTGGGGAGCGTTGCTGAACAAAGAGACCTTGGACTCATTGTTCCTTGGAAGTGAAGTCGCAGGTAGATGGGATAGTGAAGAAGGCATTTGGTATGCTTGCCTTTATTGGTCAGTGCATTGAGTATTGGAGTTG